ATATCACCAGCCCAGTAGTCAGCACTTCGGTGTTGTCATGAATATCAATTATATGGTCATTTTAATAAATTTCCTGTTGACAATACTTTAAATTTTTCGAAAAAATAAGGATTTTCTTATCCCAGGAATAGATTACCTTAGCCGTATTTGGCACAACTTTTTGGAATTTTGGGTTCTCAATGCTCTTCAACTTTGTACCTGTTTGGCTGTATAACTATTTTGATCTGAGCGTCACTGATGAGTCTTATGTAGACGAAACGCGCGTCTGGCGTATTAAATTATAATCCTGGTTACCTTTGATAACTATCATATACATAATATATATATTCAAACAATTGTCAACAAATTATTTGTGACTTTTTGTCCTATCAAATTTGTGACTTTGTCTTGTGACTTTCTGCCCTAAGAAGAAGGGACGTTTTCCATAACATCAATAACCATGTGATAAAAGTAAAATAAAATTTTCCCAGTTTTTCGTATACTATTTAGATTTGTTAGTTTGATATAAAGAATTCATTATCTTATTTAATCTATAGTTTTAATTAAGGATTTGATAGGACAAAAAACAGTAATCATTAAAATAGTTTCTTTTTATGAAAAAAAATGTATTGAAGAAATTATGTATTTTCTAGTAAGTACATATTTAAATGAATAATTAAGAAGGCAGTATTTAAACATGTTGACAGTCTGTTTTCTTACAATAAAATAATCATTATTATTGTTGTACTATAAATTTTGTGTACAAAGTTATTTAATGTTCTGTCATTCAAGAAAAATACAAAAATAATTTTGAACATGCCTTATCTCTTTTATCAAAGAAATTTTATCGCAAGAGCTGTCAGTTATTGTATTTTGATTTTAGTCTAACATTTGTTAAATAGTATAATATTAAATTAGTGAAGAAAAAAATATTATTTAGAAAACATGTTACTAAACTTGACTTCCAATGTTGTCATGAACATGAACCTCATCATGTACAAAATATGAAACGAAATTGTCAACCTGTTGCAAAAATTACATGCTGGATGACCACCTGTTAATTGGTCCAGCGGCTAACAATATTTCCCTTCCCTTGCAGTTCATGGTTTATGACCCCAAATAAATGTCAGACATAGGGGATGCTGATGATTAATCAGACCATGTCCCAGTGTGTACTGTATGGGGTTCGTTTTTTTAATAAAAATCGTACTTATATGTAATAACATAGATACGCATGAGCAATTTATCTTCCAGCAAGGCAACCTGCTTTACATGTTGAAAATTGCATTTCAGGTGAAATTTTGGCATTCCTTTTAAGTCTGAATTATTCTAAATAATAAGGATGTTCTTGTCCCAGGCAGAAAATCCTGGCCACGTTAGGCGCAACTTTTTGGAAGTTTTGGTCCTCGGTGCTCTTCAGCTTTGTACTTGTTTTGGCTTTCAAACTTTTTTCATCTGAGCGTCACTGGTTGGTCTTGTGTGGACGAGACGCACGTGTGGCGTATTGAATTTTAAGCCTAGTACCTTTTGTTAGCAATTATTCGTGTGTTTCTTTGTCCTATATGTTCTCCCATTTATTTGTATTGTGGTCCTGTCATGTGATGTTGTCGTTTTGGTGTTGTGTTTGACGTTGCCATAAAAGCGGGAGGTTTGGCATGCCACAAAACCAGGTTCAACCCACCATTTTTTCTTAAAATGTCCTGTACCAAGTCAGGAAAATGGCCATTGTTATATTATAGTTCGCTTCTGTGTGTGTTACATTTTAATGTTGTGTTTTTGTTGTGTCGTTGTTCTCCTCTTATATTTGATGCGTTTCCCTCAGTTTTAGTTTGAAACCGGGATTTTTTTTTTTATCTCTATCGATTTATGAGTTTCGAACAGCGGTATACTACTGTTGCCTTTATTTATGATGAGCATTTTTTGCATGTTAGACATGTTGAGCATTTAGGTCCACGAACAGACCACCTGTTGTGATGAGGAGAATAGGTGACAAACAGGTGTAATAAAACTGTCAGGTATTATAATAATTCAGGATAATAAAGTAAAACAGGGATTCAAACATAAAATTACAGTTAAAATCTAGATGAATGAATTTTAAACAATTTTGTTTTTTAAGTGTTTTTAAGATTTCAATTTTCCTAACTTGATATTAGAATAATTTATGTTTCATTCACCTTTTTAATATACATGGTATACATTGTATATGAAATTTCTATAAATAAAACTTTCTTAGTATTTGAAATATTTCAAAAGTGAGTGGATGAAAAAATTATACTGCATTTATATATAAAAAATGTATATAAAAAGAGAATGTAGGTCAGAAAGTCATAGGACAAAAAGTCTCAGACAACTAGTCACAGGACAATAAGTCACAATTCGGTTTCTGAGATTATTTTCTTACAAAAAAAATGTATTTGAAAAAAAAAAACATTTTTGTATTGTTCTTGAACTTTTGTGTATATAAACAAACTTTGCAAACAAAATCTAATTTTATATGGCTTCATCATGTGCCAAGAAGTATATCCTTTGCATGATTGGGATTTAATAAATCTTCATTTATCAAGGCTAATGAACAATTTCCTAAACTGTAAAATGAATATATGTAAAAAAAAAAGTTAATTTTTGAAGATGTGTCTCATATACATAATATATATATTCAAACAATTGTCAACAAATTATTTGTGACTTTTTGTCCTATCTAAATTTGTGACTTTGTCTTGTGACTTTCTGTCCTAAGAAGAAGGGACGTTTTCCATAACATCAATAACCATGTGATAAAAGTAAAATAAAATTTTCCCAGTTTTTCGTATACTGTTTAGATTTGTTAGTTTGATATAAAGAACTCATTATCTTATTTAATCTATAGTTTTAATTAAGGATTTGATAGGACAAAAAACAGTAATCATTAAAATAGTTTCTTTTTATGAAGAAATTATGTATTTTCTAGTAAGTACATATTTAAATGAATAATTAAGAAGGCAGTATTTTAGCATGTTGACAGTCTGTTTTCTTACAATAACATAATCATTATTATTTTGTACTATACATTTTGTGTACAAAGTTATATAATGTACTGTCATTCAAGAAAAATATAAAAATAATTTTGAACATGCCTTATCTCTTTTATCAAAGAAATTTTATCGCAATATTGTCTTTTGATTTTAGTCCTACATTTGTTAAATAGTATAATCTTAAATTAGTGAAGAAAAAATATTATTTAGAAACATGTATCTAAACTTGACTTCCAATGTTGTCATGAACATGAACCTCATCATGTACAAAATATGAAACGAAATTGTCAACCTGTGGCAATAAATTACACGCCTGGATGACCACCTGTTAATTGGTCCAGCGGCTAACAATATTTTCCTTCCCTTGCAGTTCATGGTTTATGACCCCAAATAAATGTCAGACATAGGGGATGCTGATGATTAATCAGACCATGTCCCAGTGTGTGGGGTTCTTTTTTTTTTTAAATCGTACTTATATGTAATAACATAGATACACATGAGCAATTTATCTTCCAGCTAGACAACCTGCTTTACTGGTTGAAAATTGCATTTCAGGTGAAATTTTGACATTCCTTTTAAGTAAATACCAATTTCCTAAACCGTTTAAAACCAGGAATTCAAGACTATCTAGAAATATTTTAAAAGTCCCAATACTATATACAAATGATATATAAAGATTAAAATGTAAACCGAAAGAAAATATCATGTAATTTCAAAGCTTTATATAAGACTGATAAACCCCATTAATTGTATTTAAAAGTTACATTCTTATATATGTAAGACTCAGATCGACGTCCGGTCTCTAATCGACGTCCGTTCCTCAAATCGACGTCCAAATCTGACGTCACAATAAAATTACTTTATTAAAGGGTGGGTTGAACCTAAAACTCATAAAGTTGTTGAAAAATATAAGACCAAATCATTATACTTTTAACAATTGGCCGTACGTTTTCTATTCTTTCTATTGTTTCTAATCTGTATACTGCCCTCTAGATGTCTTTCAATTATCTTTGTCTTTGGTTTGTTGTCTCATTGTCGTACAATGTATACCGACATTTATTTGTTTATATGAAAAGGAAAGGAAAACGACAACGTAGGTCGACAATATGAGCGTCTTTCACCAGAATATTAATATAAAATTGAGAATGGAAATGGGGAATGTGTCAAAGAGACAACAACCCGACCAAACAGCAGAAAACAGTCGACGGCCACCAATGGGTCTAAAACACAGCGAGAAAATCCCGTACCCGGAGGCGGGCTTCAGCTGGCCCCTAAACAAAATGTGTACTAGTTCAATGAAAATGGACGTCACACTAAACTCCAAAACATATAAATGAACCAGAATTAAAACAAATACAAGACTATCAAAGGCCAATGGCTCCTGACTTGGGACAGGCGCAAAAATACGGCGGGGTTAAACATTTTTGTGAGATCTCAACTTTCCCCCTATACATCTAGCCAATGTAGAATAAACAAACACACAGTAATGCGCATAGTAAAGCTCAGTTGAGAAGAAGTCCGAATCCGATTTCAGAAAAGGTAACTTAAGAAACTAAGCAAAATGACAATGATACATAAATTAACAAGGGACTACTAGCAGTTACTGACATGCCAGCTCCAGCCCTCGATTAAACTGATTGAAAGATAATGTCTTCATCATATGAAAATCAAGCACAATCCCTCCCGTTAGGGGTTTAGAATCATACCATCATAAAATATATGAGAAGAACATAACCCGTATCATTCAAATAACTGGTTTTAGAATAAATGTGTTTATTTCCTATTCAAAGACCCTATGACGGAATCAATATTAATACCTCAATATGCCATCTTTAATTAACTGACAACTCCCTTCTGAATAAGTCTCTATAAGGTTTGGTTAGCTTTTGAGGTTAATGTCGCCATTTTTGTGCTTTGTATAGAATATTACCATACAAAAATGGGATGTGAAATACTTGAACGTATAAGGTGTCTGGATGTTGATTCATATTTACGAATGATGTCCTTGTAATGTATGCCTGTACATGTAAAAGTAACAATGATGTCCTTGTAATGTATGCCTGTACATGTAAAAGTAACAATGATGTCCTTGTAATGTATGCCTGTACATGTAAAAGTAACAATGATGTCCTTGTAATGTATGCCTGTACATGTAAAAGTAACAATGATGTCCTTGTAATGTATGCCTGTACATGTAAAAGTAACAATGATGTCCTTGTAATGTATGCCTGTACATGTAAAAGTAACAATGATGTCCTTGTAATGTATGCCTGTACATGTAAAAGTAACAATGATGTCCTTGTAATGTATGCCTGTACATGTAAAAGTAACAATGATGTCCTTGTAATGTATGCCTGTACATGTAAAAGTAACAATGATGTCCTTGTAATGTATGCCTGTACATGTAAAAGTAACAATGATGTCCTTGTAATGTATGCCTGTACATGTAAAAGTAACAATGATGTCCTTGTAATGTATGCCTGTACATGTAAAAGTAACAATGATGTCCTTGTAATGTATGCCTGTACATGTAAAAGTAACAATGATGTCCTTGTAATGTATGCCTGTACATGTAAAAGTAACAATGATGTCCTTGTAATGTATGCCTGTACATGTAAAAGTAACAATGATGTCCTTGTAATGTATGCCTGTACATGTAAAAGTAACAATGATGTCCTTGTAATGTATGCCTGTACATGTAAAAGTAACAATGATGTCCTTGTAATGTATGCCTGTACATGTAAAAGTAACAATGATGTCCTTGTAATGTATGCCTGTACATGTAAAAGTAACAATGATGTCCTTGTAATGTATGCCTGTACATGTAAAAGTAACAATGATGTCCTTGTAATGTATGCCTGTACATGTAAAAGTAACAATGATGTCCTTGTAATGTATGCCTGTACATGTAAAAGTAACAATGATGTCCTTGTAATGTATGCCTGTACATGTAAAAGTAACAATGATGTCCTTGTAATGTATGCCTGTACATGTAAAAGTAACAATGATGTCCTTGTAATGTATGCCTGTACATGTAAAAGTAACAATGATGTCCTTGTAATGTATGCCTGTACATGTAAAAGTAACAATGATGTCCTTGTAATGTATGCCTGTACATGTAAAAGTAACAATGATGTCCTTGTAATGTATGCCTGTACATGTAAAAGTAACAATGATGTCCTTGTAATGTATGCCTGTACATGTAAAAGTAACAATGATGTCCTTGTAATGTATGCCTGTACATGTAAAAGTAACAATGATGTCCTTGTAATGTATGCCTGTACATGTAAAAGTAACAATGATGTCCTTGTAATGTATGCCTGTACATGTAAAAGTAACAATGATGTCCTTGTAATGTATGCCTGTACATGTAAAAGTAACAATGATGTCCTTGTAATGTATGCCTGTACATGTAAAAGTAACAATGATGTCCTTGTAATGTATGCCTGTACATGTAAAAGTAACAATGATGTCCTTGTAATGTATGCCTGTACATGTAAAAGTAACAATGATGTCCTTGTAATGTATGCCTGTACATGTAAAAGTAACAATGATGTCCTTGTAATGTATGCCTGTACATGTAAAAGTAACAATGATGTCCTTGTAATGTATGCCTGTACATGTAAAAGTAACAATGATGTCCTTGTAATGTATGCCTGTACATGTAAAAGTAACAATGATGTCCTTGTAATGTATGCCTGTACATGTAAAAGTAACAATGATGTCCTTGTAATGTATGCCTGTACATGTAAAAGTAACAATGATGTCCTTGTAATGTATGCCTGTACATGTAAAAGTAACAATGATGTCCTTGTAATGTATGCCTGTACATGTAAAAGTAACAATGATGTCCTTGTAATGTATGCCTGTACATGTAAAAGTAACAATGATGTCCTTGTAATGTATGCCTGTACATGTAAAAGTAACAATGATGTCGATGATTGTCTTATTGTCATTTTCTGATGTTTGTCCTTTTAGTTTGATAAAGATATAAGAAAATAGTTATAGTTTATGTAAGCTACTTCACAAAAAGACAAAACGATATAGATAATATAAACAAAGATCATTTAAAAAAAAATGATTCAATGAAATTTATAGACATCGCGATGAGATAAACTCTCATTGATCAGACGTCGTTTTTGTGATTCATGAAGTCACATTGGACGTCGATTAGAGGGTTAAAATATTGGACACTGATTTGAGAACGTGACGTCAGATTTGGACGTCGATTTGAGGAACGGACGTCGATTAGAGACTGGACGTCGATCTGAGTCTAACATATCAAATAATAAATAAGCAATCAAACATGCAATCATCGTCTTGCACAAAATAAAGAAAGCCCAAATTAAGTAATTTTGTCTTGATTTTCTACTATTTTTTGTATTATTCACATTTACCTTAAAGTTTGTCATTTCAATCAGGTGTTTACTTCAGCAAAACAGATTGATAATCAATATGTTCATTTCCAGATTCAGATGAGATAAATGGCGACAAGTTAGACAAGTTGTGTGAGCCATGCCTTTTTCAAAATACAGAAAAGAAGGCATTATATGTTTGTAAAACTTGTGATGAACTGCTGTGTAGAGATTGCATGAATTTCCATCAAGTAGAAAGTTATAATGATTTATATAAGCACAAAGTCATGGGTATAACGACGATGACAATATACTGTTCCCCCTGTATATTGTGGAAAAAATACATCACAGCCGCAGTATGTTGTTTAGATTGCAAAGACCGAAAACCATTATGCAATTCATGTGCAAAACAACACAGAGCAATGAAAAAAACAAGAGGTCATCTTTCATTTCCGTTAGATGTCCCTAATTCGAGGTACAACAACTTATTTTATAATTATTATTTCCTTTTCTGAGAGTTTAGTTAAACATCTAGGTAAAGGCATTTTAAAAAAACAAAGATGAATTAAATTAAAGAATTAGGTTACATCTACATGCATTTCATTTTAGGGTTTGGCTGTATAATAAATTCTTCATAGAGCCAGTATTAAAACTATGTACGCCAGACGCGCGTTTCGTCTACACAAGTATCGTCAGTGACGCTCGAATAAAAAAAGTTAAAAGGGTAAAAAAATACGAAGTTGAAGGGTATTGAGGACCAAATATTCCGAACGATTTTCCAAATAGTGCTAAGGTATTATACTGAGTAAACGCTGTTTTCAATTTTAATTTTGCAGAGATCAAATCAAATTCCCATCAAAATCGTTGGAAGTCAGGTATTCAGGACCAGATGTAAAGACTACACAACTGGTAAGATAAAATAGGGATTTATTTAAGTTTTTAAAGCAACGAATCTGACACAATATCAGTACAATCTATAAGATGGGAAAGAATTGTGAATTAAAGACATATTCACAATTTAATCCTTTACGACGAAATTGTGAACGAGTTTTTTGGTGTATCAACTCGGCCTACTTAAAATGTATTTAAACTGAATTAGGTCTGAAACGGTATGTATAAAGTTTGTAAGTGAAAGGATAAGTTCACAATAAAAAATAAAAAAATAGATATGTGCAGACCAATTGCAACGTTTTGACCTCGTTTAGAAATATAGACGTTTGGTTACTATGATGTCAGACGCGAGTATATTATACCAATAAAGTAATTTCGAAGGATTTAAGATGTTGAAACTTGGCCAATAAGTTCTTGTTAAGTCGATCTTGCCTAGCCTAGAACTAGTTGCATCTGTTTTTTTTTATAAAAGTAACGCGACAAATGCGCATGTAAAGCATGATCTGCTTAACTTCATGCTCTTCAACTTCGTTCTTTATTTGCCCTTTTAACTTTTTTTATCCGTGCGTCATTGATGAGAACTGCGGGAACGAAATGGCTTCGAGCTTACAAAATTAAAAGTCTGTTATATTTGATGAGTTATCCTACCTTTCCAGAGCACTTGAAATCACTACAGTTTTTAATGTTGTTCGTGTTGCTCAGTCTTAGGTTTTCTGTAATGTGTTTTGTATATTAATGTTTGTCTTATGATCGTTTTTGGTTTTATATTGCCATGGCGTTGTCTGTTTGTTTTATACTTTTGGTTTAGATACTAGTATCCATTTTGGTATCTTTCGCTTCTCCTATGCAACATATATTGGACGATTTTGTACTTATGGAGGCGTTTAGGTAGAAATAAAATGGAATACTGTTTAATTTTTACGTGTTTTAATGGCGTTTTTCACTGAATAACTTTTTAGTTTCCATTATACCCTTAGTCTGTCTTTAATGGGCGTACTTTTTGGTAGAGAGTCCGTTTCCATAACCAATGATTACAACGATTCCTGTATTGCAATTTTGACGGACGTGATAAGCAATGTTTCCAAATGTTACAGCTCTTGGAAATGGAAAACGATAAAAAAAAAAGAACGTACAGAAAAATCAGTGGTTAAAGTGACTTGCTACTCGGAACATTGTACTGTGCCCACAAAGATTCAGCAACTAAGTTGTCAATTTTTCCTGATGAAAAAACTGCTCAGTTTATAAGAAAATATTTTTGAAATTTCTATCGTGACATGATGCTAAAGGAAGCTGAGAAAATAGAGGTGGAAAACCAAAGGGTCAATCAATTAGTCGAGTGGAAGAAAAATCATAACCATGTCAAATAGCCAAAAACCATGACCTGATATAAGTCCAGACCGGTAGCTATTATTTAATTTCCAATATAATATCTCTCGGAAAAACTTCGAATACAAGTCGGGATGTCCTGATTCTAATATTCGCGTTAGCATTATATTTCAATAGGACGATGAGTTAACCATGAATTTGAATATTTAGCTAAGTATCAAAGGCATTTAATTAGTGTGTCATCTCAATTCAAAGTTTTATCCTTTTAGAATCTAACTTTTTTCCAAATACGAAATATAATAATATATAAGTATAAATAAAAATATTTTTCCTCAATCCAGTTAAATGCGTTCCTGACAGAAATAATCAAGACTACTTCGATAAGCAAAACCGTATTTGTGTATGTGGCTGTGTTGGTTTTTTTTTTTTTTTTTTTTTTTTTCCTCATTTTTGTCAATATTTGAATTGTTTTGTTTTGTGCCGATTGTTTTGTTTTGTTTCAGTTTCGTCTGCGACAAATTTCACAGAATGCAAGACAAAGGAATGCTGATTCTGGCGACTGCATTAACTATTTGTACGAAGCTTCATATTTCAAAGGTAGTAACCTGGATACCTCAAATCGTGAATTTTACGGACTCCATCACGAGCTTGTTGACCGTTAAGAAATATTCATTTCACAGATGACACCGGATATGTTCCAAATGTCGTCACTACAATCCAGTCCACTTCACCTGATTTGTACGAACATGAGCAACACGACGGGTGCCACATGTGGAGCAGGGTCTGCTTACCCTTCCGAAGCACATGAGATCACCCCATTTTTGGTCGGGTTCCTGTTTTTCAGTCTTTCGTTTTCTATCTTGTGTTCTATTATGAACTGTTATTTGTTTGTCTTTTTTTTTAGCCATGGTGTTGTCAGTTTAATGTCGTCTTATGAGTGTGAATGTCCCATTGGTATCTTTCGCCTCTATTTTGAGAACAGATGTTTTATGTGAATATGTTTCCGTCTGACATTTTCAAGGTTCAGCTGGTGTTTTTATACCCCCGCTTCAAAAAAGTGGGGGTATGCTGTTTTACCTCTGTCAGTCTGTCCATCCGTCAGTTCGTTCGTCCGTTTCATGAATATTTGTCGTCGCATCTTTCTCAGGAACTACATTACAAGGATTTCGGAAATTTTGTTTCAGGGTTTATATAAGACAGCTTTACCGTGTGATGCATTTTCAGATTCATCACTTAACAACTTCCTGTTTACCGAACACTTACATCAATTTACACATGAGCAGCCAAGTTGAAAATTTTCGTCACATTTTTCTCAGGAACTACAATACAAGGATTTCTGAAATTTGGTTTCAGGGTTTATATAAGTCAGCTATACCGTTTGATGCGTTTTCAGATTCATCACTCAACAACTCCCTGTTTACCGAAATATTTGGGCCGGGGTATCATAAGTGAGCAGTAGCTCACATTTTCACTTGTTGTTTTTTTTTACCGATGTTTAAGTCTCACAGATCGATTTCGAAGATACCAATCAAGGTAACAAACAAAAACTGAGTGATTCGCATTAACTGCAGACGGCAAGAAACCGGGTACGTGTCTATGGATAAAAAGTTAAATCACAAAAATACTGAACTCCGAGGAAAATTCAAAAAGGAAATTCCCTAATCAAATGGCAAAATCAAAAACTCAAACACATCAAACGAAAGGATAACAACTGTCATATTCCTTACTTGCTACAGGCATTTTCTTATGTAGAAAATGGTGGATTAAACCTGGTTTTATAGCTAGTTAAACCTCTCACTTGTATGACAGTCGCATCGAATTTCATAAATATTGACAACGATGTTTGAACAAAACAAACAGACACAATAGGTAAAAATGTCAAAAATAGGGGTACAGCAGTCAACATTGTGTTATAATCTTAATCACTATAAAAACAAACAAATATGTAACAAAGAAGCACAAAAAAGGCATATAGACAAAGCACATTAGCAAAAATTAAAGACAAGAATACACAAATTTACCATAGCACAATAACACAATGACGGGATGTGTATGCCACAACCGTCACGCGTTTCCAACCTTAATCAAAATGAAAAAGTTTTGGAATAGGACATAATCGGTGTAAAAACATATGCAATCTAATGATTGAATACAGGCAACACATGTCAACAATAGAGTTGAGACACAGACTCCTCGTTTCGATCAACCACTAAGGGTGGTGACCGAAACACTTAGGGTGGTGACCGTAAATAAAGGCAGTAGTAGTATACCGATCATGCTGATGTTTAAAACGTATCAAAAAATTGAAAACTACACGTTTAATAATTTCATGCGTCCGAAGCGCTTTTCTGGATTTACCTTCATCAGGAACGCTCAATGCCAAACATTTGAAATCCGAGGGATGTATAAGTACCGAAACAGTTGAAGAGCTATTTGACAAAAATACCTAAAACCAATAGCCAAATTCATCTAAGGTCAACTTTGCCTGAGGGTGTCGATTTCAGTCTTAATTCCTTTGATGCAGCTTTTGTGTAATTAACACACCCCTGATACGAATGCCAGTATAGTGTTATGCATGTGCGTAACGTATTATTCTGATTGAGACATAGAAAAACAATAGGATGGAACAGAGGATATGCAATTGCCGAAAAAAATGGTTAGTGTGTCATACTTTCTGCTTTGAAGTCGTTCATCAGTGTCAATGTTAATGAACATATCAACATGATTAAGCATGGTCACCGTGGATTAAAACTATATCTGGTGTAAGGAATAACAACATTGTGTGCATGCATGTCCGTCGGGCAAGATTCATCTGACCTTGATCTTTATTTCATTAGTCAAGTTCAATTTTCGTGGAGAGGCACGTTTGCAAATACTATTAGCAATGGATTAAGTGTATGGAATGACTGTCAGGTGTACATTGTTGAAGGCCGTACGGTGACCTATAGTTGTTAATTTATGTGTTATTTGGTCTCTAATTCAGGGTTGTCTCATTGGCGATCATACCAGATCTTCCTATTTTTATATATGAAAATAAGGAGATGAGGTATGATTGCCAATGAGACAACTATCCCCAAAGTTCAAATAAAGTGGATGTAAGCAATTATAGCAACTGTACGGCCTTCAACAATGAGAAAAACTAATATTGTATAGTCAGCTATATAGTTCCTGGACATGAATAATATGAAACAATTCAATTGCGAAAGCTAACGACCTAATGTATAACAAAACAATTTGCATAAAAACAAATATGACAGACACGAACCAACGATAACAAATTAACTACAGGCTCCTGATTTTCGATAGGTATATACAGAATTGAAAACAATTGAAAAGGGATTAACCCATTAGATCGATACAAAGCAGAACACGGTCTAACAAAAAGGCAAACCAGACATGTCAGTTCACTTTAACTTGACATCATTTTTAAGGGTCGTAACTCAATGTTTTAATGGTTATTAGATATAAGAAGATGTGGTATGAGTGCCAATGAGACAACTCTCCATGGAAGTCAAAATTTATAAAAGTAAACCATTATAGGTCAAAGTACGGTCTTCAACACGGAGCGTTGGCTCACACCGAACAGCAAGCTATAAAGGGCCCCAAAAATTACTAGTGTAAAACCATTCAAACGGGAAAACCAACGGTTCATATCTAGTATATTATAAGCAATGGGTCAATTATATCTGGTGTATAAAAAAAATGTAAGGTTAAAATGCCTCTCTGGCAGGACTCATCTAACCTTGACTTCATTATCAGTGATACTTGTATATAATTAAAAACCAATTGTTCAGAGAACCATTGAAGGTCTTTCCACCCATAAAGATCAATTTTGATATAGAACTATTAAAATATCATATCCAGCGTCAAATGATAGCTTATTGTACACTGATTCTAAAAATATATGGTTTCTATACATTGTTTTCTAAATAAGGGTTTGAAAAATGTCACTTCCGGTTTTTTTTTTATAGTTTACTTGAAACTGATTCCAAAAATACATGGTTCAATATACTTTTACATTTAATAAGTACAAAAAATAGCTACTTCCGGTTTACACATGGTCACTTCCAGTTGGCTTTTCCATGGTCCAGTGGCTTGCAACGTTATGCAAAAAGTCCCATGGCTTTATCATGTATACATATGAGGTAAAAGCAAAGGTCAATATCTAGAACGTCAAATTCACCAATGACCTTGAGCTCAATTTCAAGGTCATAAACCAAGGGCTTCAAATCAAAAGACCATAGGTCTTAATTATACATGGTTAATGAGTTATATCACTATATGCCTAATTTTTAATATAAGAGGGGAAAAAACTCCAATTTAATGTTAGTGTACCCTTTCAACCAAAATGTATGTGTTACGACATGTCGCAACTTACAATTTAGTAAAGATATGTTGTCAATATCTTATACGGTTTTTGAAAAGAATTGAAAATAAGCAAAAATCAAAATTTAAAATATGACCTGGAACTCTGACCTTAACCTTATTTTCTTTTTTTTTACCAAGGACCTCAAACCAAAAGATCCTAGGTCTCTATCTAATGGTTTACAAGATAGATATGCATATCACTTATATCAAATGCATAAGGGGAAATAACTCTCATATGGAGTGTGCGTATGGCTTCGGTCAAAATTGAACAAATCAAGCGAAGGATATAACGAGCAATTTTATAAAATAAATTTGTCGCTTTCTCATACGGTTACGGAGGAGATGCAGTCACAAGGAAAACAGTGTTCGGGGAGATAACTCCTACAAAGAAAAGTATTCGGTTACGCAGGATGAATTTCAAAGGCGCATAAACTATTCGATATTATATACCAAACATCTAAGCGACATCTTGCGAAACAAAATTTATACGCAAGAAATAAAAGTGGCGGAAGAAGAAAAAAAAATTTTAAAAACCAATTGTTCAGAGAACAATTGGAGGTCTTTCCACCAAAAAAACATGTATTTTAATATGAAAGAAGTAAATTTAGGTTTAAAATGTCATTTCAAACGTCAAATGATAGCTTATTGTACGCTGATTCCGAAAATATATGGTTTCTATACAATATTTTTTTAAATAAGGGAAATAATTTGTTACTTCCGGTTTAAAAAATGTTATTTCCGATACTAATTGAATATTTACTTGACACTGATTCCAAAAATATCTGGTTCTATATACTTTTATATCAATAAAGAACAAAAAATAGCTACTTCCAGTTTACACAAGGTCACTTCCGGTTGTTTTTTTCAAGGTTAAATGGTTTGAAACCTCTTGCAAAAAGATTCATGGCTTTATCATGTATACATATAAGGTAAAAGTAAAGGTCAAAATCTAGAACGTCAAATTAAGCTATGACCTTGAGATCAATTTCAAGGTCATAAACCAAGGACCTCAAATCAAAAGACTATAGGTCTTTATTATATTTGGTTAATGAGTTATATCACCATACGTGTATTTTTAAATACAAGAGGGGAGAAAACTTCCTTTTACGTCCAACGTACCCTTGCAATCAAAATTTACGTGTTACGTCATGTTGCAACTAACAGTTTAGTAAAACTAATTAGTCGATATCTTATACGGTTTTTGGAAATAAGTAAAAATAAGCAAAAATCTAAATTTAGAATATGACATTGACCTTTGACCTTGACCTAATTTTCATTTTTTTTTACCAAGGACCTCAAATCAAAAGATCCTAGGTCTCTATCACTTATGGTTTACAAGATAGAAATGCATATCACTTATATCAAATACATAAGGGGAAATAACTCTCATATGGAGTGTTCATATCGCTTCGGTCAAATAAGACAAATCATGCGAAGGATATAACGAGCAATTTTATTAAAAAAAATTGTCGCTTTCTTTTACGGTTACGGAGGAGATGTAGTCACAAGGAAAACAGTGTTCGGGGAGATAACCCTTACAAAGAAAATTGTTCGGCTTAGTATGGGTGAAAATAAAAAGCGCATAAACTGTATGATACTTTATAAGAAATATCTTAGCGACATATTGCGAAACAAAAATTTTACGCGAGAACAAAATTTGGCGGAAGAAAATAATAATAATCAGAACAAATACAATAGGTAAAAAAAAAAGTGGAAAGACCTAATTAGTGCATATTATAACTAGTAAAATATAGATCGTACAGACTATTTACATAAAATGCAGTCATCATTAGAAAAGTCAAAGAGACGTTTTGTCGTGTTCACTTTTGGGTTTTATTTTTAAGACACTGTCTTTTTATTTTAGGTGAAATCAACGAAAGTAAAATTACCAAATGGCAATGGCATAGATACGGAAGAATCATCATCTTTTATCTCTAGGTAAATAGTTATCAAAGGTACCAGGCTTATAATTTGATACGCCAGACGCGCGTTTCGTCTACATAAGACTCATCAGTGGCGCTCAGATCAAAATAGTTAGAAAGCCAAACAAGTATAAAGTTGAAGAGCATTGCGGACCCAAAATTCCAAAAAGTTGTGCCAAATACGTCGAAAGTAATCTATGCCTGGGATAAAAAAAAATCCTTAGTATTTCGAATAATTCATACTTTTGCAAACAGTTAATTTATAAAGATGACCATTTATGTAATATTCATGTCAACACCGAAGTGCTAACTACTGGTTTGGTGATACCCTCAGGGACGCAACGTCCACCAGTGGCATCGACCCAGTGGTGTAAATAGTTATCAAAGGTACCAGGCTTATAATTTAATACGCCAGACGCGCGTTTCATCTTCATAAGACTCATCAGTGACGCTCAGATCAACTTAGTTAGAAAGCCAAACAAGCAAAAAGTTGAAGAGCATTGAGGACCCAAAATTCCAAAAAGTTGTGCAAATTACGGCTAAGGTAATCTGTGCCTGGGATGAAAAAATCCTTAGTATTTTGAATAATTCATACTTTTGCAAACAGTTGATTTATAAAAATTACCAAACTTAAACTTTTGTTGTTTTTTTTAAGTTATGGAACGTTTTGTTTCCTTTTGTTTCGATATGTGCCCCGACGGCGTCAACAAAAAATGTGATTTAGTCGGATTAAGGGAAACCACCTATTGTAAATCTGCGATAAGCTGAATAATGATTGAAACATCTTATTTTCATTAAGATTATGTGACCCCGCCCCCACAGCCATAGCCCATTGAATTTAAAAGTTTGATATAATTGACATTATAAAGCTCGGTTAACACTATAAATTTTTTTTTACCACGTACACTTGGTCCAAATCATTGGTTGTCACTATCAACTTTCCCTGGAGGGTTTAGTTATATTTCCATGTTTTATATTAATGTGCTGTTAAACTAAGAACAGATTTCGAAATTAAAAAAAAAAACTACTTGTCAAAACATATGATTTTGTTATACTATTCCATGAGTTTTATGAAGAAGCTATCGTTTTATTCATTTCTATTCTTCTTTTATTTTGATGATGATGTTTTCTCTGTATATGTTTTAATATGACGTTTGCTTTTGTTTTCTGTTGCAATATTTTTAAAGTTTGTTTTTTTTTGTTTTTTTGTTTTTTTTCTAAAGGGGTATGTTTTTATATCTAATTTATTCTCTATCGAAGGGCGTTTGCTGCCGAATTGACTAAAATTTGATTTATAACATACTAATCTGCATATAAGGATTAAATAAATTCCATAGGATAAAATGAATAATACTTGAAATAATTTTTGGACTGAACTGTCTTATTGACAATCGAGATCACCTCCGAGAATAGTTGATATGCATGTGATCCTGATATAAATGCAAATATATGAAAATAAACAATTAAATATAAATAGCACGTGCAATAGCAAAATGATGTTTGTTCGTTTGATATCGTATCAAGATAATAAAAAAATGTACATCACCGTTTGACCTGTAACCTGAAGAAGTGGGGGGTTTCCTTGTGGGTGAAATCAGTCAACGTAAGTTTTTTTTCCCCCATTTAACCACAGTTTCACTTTTGCAAATATATTCTTTTCGATCAATAAACATGACCTGCACATGCGCAATCATCTTCGACTGAGTGAATTAAAAGGCCAAATGCTAAGGGTGCAATCAAAAGTTTTTTTCTATGACGTCATATTTTGAGGGACCATGCATAAGATACCCTTAGTGGTGGTATTGGTAATAAAGATACTTGTATAAAACTAGATATGACTGGAATCAGAATTTGCTCTAATGAAATAAAAATAAAGTGCAATTTTAACATAATAAAAAGTTTCAGCCAAAGAAAATTAACAAAAAAAATACCCAATCTGAACTTGAAAAACCTGCATACTCATGTAGACCTGATACAGTCACATTTAAGATAATTAAAACTGTATGAGTTTCATAGATTTTTACCCGGCCTTTTAAAACATTCTCGCTTCAGGGTACGTTTGCCTGCTACAGTAGCTACAAATAAGTTTTCAATTTTTACTACCCAAAAAAATAGTGTTATCTCCCCTTAAGACATGTGTATTTAATCTAATTTCTAAAATTATTTGAATGATTCAACCTGTTCTAATTGAAAGCTAATTAACTAAATTTTACAATCAAATACAAAAAACATTATACGTTTTCACCAATTAGAAAATAAAAAAGGGATTTTCCTCCTTGGCTATTTTTAGTCGGGGAATAACCCCTAATTCTTATGAAACTGTTTATAGCACCCATACGAATTTGATGAGTTCGATTTATTGTATAGTTTGTCAAGATGTGGAGATTATTTTGACAAGATTGGCAGCTTATAAAGAGCCATTGTTCAATATTAGCTTTCTATAAATGTTTGGAACATAACAAAAAATTACTTTTGCTAGCTTATTCTTTCTACATCGTGGCTAATATCCCTTTCAGATTCCGAAAGTGTTTCGGATGCTACTATAATGTGAGGAAGCCACCTTATATAAAAAAAAAAACCTACCTGCTGAAATCTACACTTCGTGCATTCCGACTTTAAAGCAACTTCAATTTAATTATTATTGATAAAGATCAACAGTGTGCAGTAAAATCTGTTTTAAATTTGCATTACAGGTCTGATCAGATCGAGAGCCAAGCACAACAGTTAAACAAAGGCCCAGATTCAGGACAAAGTGTATTGAAAACACTTTCGGTAAGTAAAATAAGAGAATTGAATAAAAAAAAATTGAGTCACCACACCAGATTGCAAGTCTGAGATAAAATTATGAAAGCAAACCATAGGAGATCTGTAAATAAATACCTACCTACCTATCCTCTTAGCTCCTGGCGGAGCATAAGGTCGCCACAAGATTTCGCCATCCAACTCTGTCTTTAGCCTTTGTTTCGGCTTCTCCCCAGGTCATGTCAAGCTCCTTCAGTTCTGCTTCAATCGGTCGACGCCAGGTGGTTTTGGGTCTTCCTCTTGGTCTCTTCCCCTTGGGCGTCCATCTAAGAGCTATCCTGGTGATATTGGATACAGGAATCCTGAGAACATGCCCCAGCCATCTGAAGCGCCTCTGTCGAATTTCTTTCAGAACACAGTCATTTCAAGGAGATGTTCATTTGAAATAAGGTTTGGCCAGAAGATTTAAATAAATAGTGGACATTATTCATGCTGTTTAAGTCAGCTACCTCCACTCCTGTAAATTTCCCATCAGATGAAAAAATAATTAGTTTTGATGTGGAGTCGATTTCCTCAATACCTTTTTAAACTTTTGCGTATGTTCCTAGGTAAATAATAATTTATGAATTGTTTCTCTTTATGAATTCAAAACAAGGGGGAAAATATCATATTGTTACAGCTGTTAAGAAATTATGATATAATTTAATTCGTACGCTATGCTTGGGTGAATAATCTAATAAAATTCTGTACACGTTGATTACCATATAACACTTGTTAACTTTTTAAAGGGATTCTAATTCAATAACAGTCACTAAAACATGAAAAATTGACAATTTTAAGAGTACTTAATCACATATAAGAATTGATTTACATAAATAGTTTTTCAAGATAAGATCTTCACAGAAAAAAGACTTTTTAATATGGTCACAACACGACGGGTGCTACATCCGGAGCAGAATATGCTAAACCGTTCGGAGCACCTGCGGTATACCCGTATGTATTATGCTACAGAAAAAATGCTGGAAGAAAACTTAAGTGTTACTGTATAAGTTTTGTTAAAATCTTGTAGGGTAATAATTAAGGTAACAGTATTTTATAGATGTTCAGATCTCGTTAATCGATTAAGAAGCATCCGTGATTTACGTGAAATTAAATCGCACAATCTGTTTACCAATCTGCAAGACCATTTTGTATCAGTAATTTTGCTTGTTTTTTTGAAGTCTTTATTTTGTTTAGTTCTGTTTCGTTGTTTGTCAAGTTTGGTTTTTAATTTTCTTCAAACATTTTTTTTTATTTTTAGGTTGAACCAATGATGAATAAATTCTTACATATCAAGCTCTCAGAGACAAAGGAGACAACAAGATATGAGATGTCTTTACGTGGTGTTTATGTTTGACAAGTGTCATGTACTGAAAACGCGTGAAAACAATTTTACAGACTTTTTTTATGATTGAATAAAAAAACATATAGGCTTTATACAGATCATAATATGTAACGTATTTCAAAATTTTACTCGTTGCGTCCTATATGTAATGCAAATTTTGTTAAATTGTATTATGAGTTACGGAATAAAGCTTTTATAAAAACAAAAAAACTCATTTTGAAACTTTCTTTCAGTTTATAATTCTGTGCGTTTCTATGCTTTTCTGGCGATTTATTTTGTTTGTTTCTATGTTGCTATTATCAAAAATAGTATATAGGTTTTCGGTTTGTTTGGTTTATTTCTGGAGAATTTCTGTATGAATGTTTGATATTCGTTGTTTAGAAATACCAAAATATATAAAGTTAGTGTAAAAAGTGTAAGCCAATAAAAACTAACAAAATCAAGCGTTTTATAAAACCAGGTTTTTTAGCTAGCTTAACCTCCTATTTGTATCATAATTGTTAATAGTTCCGTTATATTGACAAAATTGGGTGTGCAACCAAAACAAGCACAATAGTGTAACAATAAGTAGGATCCATTATAAACATACACACAAAACAAATGACTATAAAACTACCAACAAACATACAAATAAATGTGGCAAAGACGCCAACAAAAAATATATTGTAGAATGAGAAATGTTTTCAAAATGTTATTGTAGTATTGAAAATGATTCAAAAAAAAATGTTGCATGGGAAGTGTTTCAAACGCATTTAAATTAATAGGTTTTTAATGCATGCAATATTGTTACTGCTGAAAACTTTTTTTTATAATCTTAGAAAAATTTATTTTTCTTGTTTGTTATAAGTTTGGTAGTGACACCGTAGCATAGATATATATATTACGGATTACATATGTGTCGAGTTTTGTGATTGGATAACAACACAGTGATATCAGTATATAATCAGGAAAGTGCCGGGGCATATCCGATGTGTTTTACCCAAATTGGAAACTCAATAACGTCATCATAACGATGGTTACTATGTGACGTAGTCGTAAGCTATACAGAATTCTTAAAGAAAGTCAAAGGTTATATAGGAGGAAAATTAATGACGTATATTCGTCAATGATACGTTATTCCTTTTAAAATCACGCGATTTACACATCAAATACGTAAATTATGTAATAAAGTGTTATTATAAATTATTGGATACCCGATAGAATTATTTTCACAGCTCAGGGAATATAAACTCTAATATAAGCCGGGAATGTCACATTATAAACCCTGTCTGAGACCTGAATAACATATAATGTTGTTAAAGCTGTTCATGTATCCAAATGATATTCATATTTCTTTAAATATTTGAAACAGAAAGTTTCCAACAACATAAAAATTTGTGGTTGCTGTTTTTTGTAATCATGTTAGATATGCTGGCTGACAACAATAATCATGGTTTGATTAAGAAATGATTATAGCTGAACTTTTACTAATAGTATTTAATAAAAGGTTGATGTGTTTATCTATGGGAAAATATTATAGAAAAAACGGAATATTGTGTAAACCTAAAATTAATATATGTTCAATTCGTCGGTATTGTTTCATGTTACACATAACGAGCATGCATGTTATTGTGATAATAATTTAAATGTACTAGAAATTCAATACACACAATTGATGTATATGACATAAAAAGCATTAAGTTTATCTTGTTAGGGTTTATTCCAACAGACATTTTTTTTCTTAATTTTAATAGATATATTAGTATCACCATGTTCTACAAGGAGTCCACACAGGAAACAGGATATTACACCTGCACATGATTGGACATTGTTAGATCACAAATAAAAACAATTCCAAAATCTCACTGTTGTCTGTTTGATTTAAAATTCATGCTCAATTGAATAATCTATATGAAGATGAAGTAATGATGGATCTTTTTGGAGACACCAATACAGCACAATAATAAAATGATAAACAACTGCTTTATAGCATTATTGCTCAATGTTCTAAATGCTCTTTAATACAGTGTTTGAACCATAATCAAAATTATTTCTATGCTATTTGTCTTCGGATAACAGTTTAAATACAAGAGAAACCGGTAAAATCCATCCATTAACGGAGATGCTAAACGCATTTGCCATTTTATTAACCAAACATGAGTAAAGGTGATAAGACTATATAAAACAAATATACCTAATTCGATATTCCATGTTTACATATCTCAATTGATACGTTATGCTCGTGCATGTTAACACTGTACGGACTTCATGTACAGGAGTGTGCTCCTTACGCAGAAACTGCTCCAACAGAGTTATGAGAAGGAAAGATTAAAAATGACACTCCGTAAATTCGATGGACACCATCAAGTATCGGTTGATCTATACGATGTGTCTGTGTCTAAATCAACTAACGACATTTTTACCACGTCTTAGATTGTGGTTTACCATCTACGTCGTCTGGTCTGCCTAGTACCGAATGTGACCTATTCTCGAATTCCCGGACTGTTTTGACGAGTGTGAATTCACATTGCTATACGACGTGTCTCGGTATTTATATATCTAATATTCATGTATTTAGTTATGATGTTTCTTTTGTAAATCCGGTTAGATATTTTGTTATGTCTTATGTTCGCTGTTGGAGACGACGTGGTTCGGTATTTATATATCCCGCATTCTGGCATTTTGTTGTTTCTTTCTTATACGTGTTGGTCCGTTGGGTCATTTTGTGCTGAATTGTTGTCTGTTTAATTCGTTTGTGGTTTGAAATCTGTATTTTCGGTACATTTCACATATGTCTTATTTGTAAATATAGTCAAAATACAAATAATAGCACCATTACAAACACAATTCAATTTTAATATTCTTGTCATGGTAAGAAAATACATAAAATAACACCATTACAAACTCAATCCAAATTTGATATTCTTGTATGTGTCTATGAATAAAACAAATCTATTTTATTTTTAGAAATTTACTTGTGATAATATAAACGTCACAAAAAATACGTCACTTTTTGTGACGTTGATCCATTCATGTGACGCGCAATTTATGTTTCGTTTATTGTGTCCTGTTGTGCTGTCGTAAGTTCGTGGGAGGGGTCCGTTGTTATTTTGCGGTTTACATATTGTAATGTACTAGTATATCATTTATTTATGTATTTCTCTGTGCTGAGTGGTGTTGTCATTTTAGCAGTATCTTTAACATTGCCATATAAGTGGGAGGTTTGGTTAGCCATAAAATCAGGTTCAACCCACCATTTTTTCTTAAAATGTCCTGTTGCAAGTCAGGAATATGGCAGTTGTTATCTACTGTCCGTTTCCTTGTATGTTGACGTTTGGTTTTGTTGTGGTTCAGTATTTCTGTTGTTCCGTTGTTTTCCTCTTGTAGATGATGTATTTCTTATTTTCATATGAATCGGAGTTCCTTCGGACACTTGTCAAAAACAAGAAGATCAAAGAAGCCAGATTATTTAATTTCACTCTCAGATATATTGATGATGTTCTTTCCATTAACAATCCGAACTTTTCTAATTGGGTTCCATTAATATATCCCCCAGAACTAGAAATTGAAGAAACAACAGACACGGCTTCCTCCGCCTCATTTTTACCCTTATACCTCGAATTTGACATACACAGTCATCTCAGTACCAGAATCTATGACAAACGAGACGATTTTAATTTTGAAATTGTCAATTCCCCCCATCATAGTAGCAATATACCAACTTCACCTGCATATGGGATATACATTGCCCAACTTATTCGATATTCAAGAGCTTGCAGCTCCTACTCAGGCTTTGTAAAATGTCACCAGTGTCTGAGCAGAAAGTTGATGAACCAGGGGTATGTCCAAGAACGTCTCGTCCTTTTCCTAAAAAAAGTTCATCGGAAGGTACCAAGACCTTGTTGATAAATATTCCGTATCAACTTCAGAAATAATACATGATGGTCTTGATGTATAGATTCTGCGTACTGAGGTTGCTTATCATCTTAATAATGTGTTATATTGTTCTTTTATTTGTCTTTGTTCTATTATTAATATTACTTTTACTGTTTGGTCTGTTTTCTGTGATATCCATTTGACGTGGCTCGGTACTTATACATCCCGTTAATGTGTTTGTATTATCTTTCATTTTTACTGGTGTGTTTTGTACGTGTAACTTTATGTGTTTCTTTGGTACATATGACGTGGCTCTGTACTTTTAAAGATCCCACCATTTTGTCATTGTTCTATTATAATACCATTATGTTATTGTTCTATTATATTTTTGAAAATACTTTGAACGACAAAATTATTTTACTCGCGTAGTGGTATTAACCATATGTGGATTCTTAAAAATTCTAAAGAAATTCTGGATAATTTTAAATCTCGGGTTTTTTCTGAAATTAGTTCTTAAATTAACTTTTGATTTTTCAACACTGTATACCACCATTCCCCATGTGAAATTATAATTTTGAAAATACTTTGAACGACAAAATTATTTTATATTTCTTCCAGTGAGACGTTTACATTTTCTGGCGTCAAACACGTCTCTACACTACGAGTAGATGTGAATGCGGTCACAGGACTTTATGGGTTGATTTATAATTCATATATAAGTAGGCAATGAATGTGGTTGTTATATTTGATAGATGTTTTTTGTGCTTCTTTGTTAAATGTTTGTTTGTTTTGAGATTGTGACACAGTGATGACTGCTGTACCTATATTTTGACAATGTTCCCAATTATGTCTGTAATGTTCACGCATCGTTGTAAATATAATGGAATTTGATGCGACTGTCATACAAGTGAGAGGTTTAGCGCTATAAAACCAGGTTCAATCCACCATTTTCTACATTTGAAAATGCCTGTACCAAGTCAGGAATATGGCAGTTGTTGTCCATTCGTTTGATGTGTTTTATCATTTGATTTTGCCATTTGATTAGGGACTTTCCGTTTTAAATTTTCCTCGGAGTTCAGTTTTTTGTGATTTTACTTTCCCTCTGTTTTAGTTTGTTACCCGGATTAGGTTTTGCTTAATCGAATTATCACTATTGAACAGCGGTATACAACTGTATATAGCCTGTATTTAATACGCTTTGTATATTCAAATATATCAACCTAGGGCATCACTGAAGATACTTTTGTTGTCAAAATGTTTATCTGGTGCAATGAAATT